TATTCTAGAAGGGCACAGGCTGGAAAACAACATGGAGCTCTGTAATCTACTCTTAACGCCTGGGGTGACCAGGAGTCTGAATTCACCTGATGGCAACTAATGATCTGACTGCCACATTTCTAATAATATATACCACACGATAGGTTTCCCACTAAAAGTTCATTCATGGTCCAACTTTATCAATCACAAGATGTACTGCAATCCAATAGGGAGGATGGTACAGGACCAGCAGTGTTTCGTTCTGTTGTGTCTCCGTCCACTGTGGGCCAGAACTGACTCCACGAGCCTACCCCCACAACTGCACTCCAGAAGGACTCCCAGCACTTCACTGATGAAAGCACTCTGATGTACTGTACTTCCAAAGTGGGTGGTTCGAACCTATCCTATCGACAGCTCAATTTTAGAACAGTCTGCTTCTATAAAGATTTAAAACATTAAAAACTCGATGTGACATTGCATCGTGTTTTATAGGACAAGAGAACCCATATCCAAACCCTCTTCAACAGTCAAACTAGAATTTCTCAAGCAAGCATCCAACGATACTGTGCTTCTGCCTGCTGACCAGCCTTTCCTTCTACTCACACCTCTGAGCCAGACACTCACTTTGATATGATCTTCCCTCAACATTTTGCTCCCACTTGGAGTAACAGTGTCTATGACCACTGTGGAGGAGCCCAGGTGGCAGAGTGGAAACATGAAAACAGATTAGATAAAACAAACAAACCACGGTTGAGACACTGAGAAAACTGTAACCAGTGTCACTGAGCAAGCTGTATACAAACCACTGAGTGAGAACTTAACCTGCTGTGGACATTTTTACTTAACAGTCCCAAAATTTTCAAACACCTCCCCCCCAAAAAAAAAAAAAATTGAAGAGAGTGACATTATCTGTCATTTTGTTTGATCCAAATTACTCCACTGTACTATGCTGCCCATATCGTAGTGAGGACTATCATCTTTTTTCTTTGCAGCCAGGCATCATCCAGCTGTAATGTCATCTTAAAGGACGGAGTGAGTTGGCTCCTGGAGACAGTAGCTGCACACTCCACTTATCCTAATCTCCACTCCACCTCCTTCATCCAGAACTGAGACCAACTGTCTGCTCTCATGGCCAACTGCAAGCTCTGAAGACCCTAGGCACCACTCGGGGAACGTGGAAGTAGAAGAGAAGCACTAGACCTGTCCCTTTGACCCAGCTAAATGAGTTAACAAAGAGAAAGATCTGTTAGACGTGCAGAGGTTAGTTTGTTTCTGTGGATCACTTCTTGCACTGACCCCATGTACAACTGAACAAAGCGGTGCCGCTCCTGTGTTAGCTTCACAATCATTCTATGCTAAGGCCACTGTCACACTCAGTACGTCTTTCTGCTGCTCCACTACTCGCTTTTCACTTTATAGACTCGTCACCACTGGGCATGCCCTATTTTAATGTCTGTATAAAAGCTTCCTGATGGTTGTCTGTCTCTTCATAGTCAAGGTTAAACCCAGTGAACTCGGGGTTTTAAGGATGATATGGACTAATTTGCGCTCAGTATCTAGGATATGATCTGTCACATATCTATTGCCATTGAGCTGATTCTGATTCCTAGCAACTCCATGTAGGGAGTCTTCGAGGCTGTGGATCTTTATGGGTGTGGACAGGCTGATTTTTCTTCTGAGGAGTGCCTGGTGGGTCTGAAACATCCACTTTGTGATTTTCGGTCTAATGCTACCTGACAGAAACGTTGTTACTACCAAGTCCATTCCAACTCATGGCCATCCACACCATGTGTTCAGAGTTAGAAACACCAGTAGAGTCTACTTTTTTTGAAGCAGATACCAGGCCTTTCTCCCTAAGTGACCCAGAACAGGTTAGAACCACCAATCTGAAACATAATACTTGAGCATACACTATGGTACGTAGAAAATCTTTGGTACCTAAAACAACACAAGTATGTGTTACTGTCATGCTGTATGAAGTTCATACTAACCCTATCAGACAGAGCCATTTCCTCACAGGATTTCCAACAGTGTAAATATTTATGGAAGAAGACTGATGCATGTGTCTCCCCAGGAGCAGTTGGTGA